CACAGTTACCCTTGCAGTATTCACGCGATCCTTTTAAACAAATTTCCAAGATTTGGTCTTCTTATATGATGACTATGTTAACCAAAAATTTATACATGACCTATGTGTCTTCCATTTTTTATAAACGAATATACTTTCATTCGCAAGTATTCACTTTGGTGTGGATGCAACAGAGGTGTTTTCGCACTCTTGCAATTTTAGTATAGCATTCTTGCATTTCGGCACCTTGCAATGACAGAGTAAATACCCCCAATATGTTTGCAAGAGGTCACACCTAATATAGTGTTATAGTATAGATTTTACTAAAATTATTTTATTTATAAAATATATAATTAGAGTTTTCATAGATTTGCTTTTAATTAATTTTTTTGATAATATTAATTTCATATTCAAAACACATTAATTATAAATTATGTTTGCAATATTAAATAGTAAATATGTTTAAAATCAATTACATACATTATATATTATTGTAAATGTATTGCAATCATGTAAATTATATTTGCTTCGTATATGAGTACTACATACACATATATTATAATATATCGATATGGCATATATCAAATTTTCCCTCATAAACAATTTCTTCAATATTCACTTCAACCAAACAAATTCACTCATAGTTAAAATTGTAAATTAATTAAAATTAATTACAAATTCAACAAGCAGTTAACAGATATTTATAGAGTAAATAGAACGAGTAGTATGTGCCCGAAGAGACCACAGCTCTGCTAACCAGAAGGGAAATTTGCATTGAAGTCAGCTTTACGGTTTTGCAGGAAAATTAAATGAAATTGCAAAGTTTGCATGTTTTCAAAATAAATGTCAAAACCATAAACTTAAAATGTATAAACAAATAAAATTTATTGTGTTTGTTAAATTTTAAATGAATTATTTTTCACTTTTAAACTATTCGACACTACCTCATTTCCTCACTCATCCACCCGCAACACCGATCCATTTACTTGACTACACTTAACTTTTTCACAATTCTTTAGTTAAATTTAAGAGATTCAAGATTCAAGATTCAAGATTGAAGATTTAAGATTCAAGGTTTTGGATGCAAGAAATTCATAAATTTAAGTTAAGAAACGTTCACCTCATATATTTTCCGGGTTTCTAAATTTATTTCACAAAAATTAACTGTGACTCCACAGCTCGTGCTATGATTTGCGTATGCGACTGAGAATGGGATTGAGATTGAGATTGAGGCTCCAGAATGCGAGTGTGAATGCGTGTAAGCGTAAGTATGAGTGTAAGTTTAAAGTATAAGAATTACTTGAAGAACCCTAACAATCATTAAAATGGCGCGACAATCCTTTGAGTTTTCTATTTACGTTTCTCGGGTTTCTTTTTTTTTTTTTGTTCTAATTTTATTTTATTAAAATGTTAAATACAATTAGGATACAAAATGTTAAAAGGGTAACTCAATTGAAGGGTTCACACCGCGCCATCTTCGCTCGACGGTGAAGCGAAACAAACTCATTACAGCACGAACATAATAAAAATTTATATAGAGAAATAAAGAAAATGAATTGCTCAACGACTACGACGACCTCGTTACAGTGATTTGAATTAATTTATCGCCTGCGATATCCAAACTCATTTGCTTTTATGCCGTTGAGTTGCCGCGACATTGTACCAATGAAATACATTTCGCAATCAAGTCATGCAATGCAGGATACAGGATACGGGATACAGGATACAGGCTAGTCAATGGTGAGTAGTACATAAGAAAAAAATTTCAACACATGTGACACTTAAGTCACAATTTACAGGATTTCTTCTTTTTTTTCATTTTTTTCATATTTTTTTTTTCATTTTTTTCATATTTCTTTTTTATTTTTTACTGTTTAAAATTTAAGTTTCCACATCACATCTTATGAAGTTAATTTTATATTAAATTTATACCGTCAAGTAAGTATCTCAATTTTTCCTTGCGCAGTTTAAAGTTGCGTTGGGAGTAATAAAATTTAATTAGGAACTCGGTACAGTGTACAGAGTTTTCAACTCTTTAAACTTAAGCGGCTTTTTTTCAAATTTTATTGTACCTAGTAATAAAATTTGTAATAATCACTCAATTAGATTGTCAATAGCTCAATTTAGGATAATTAAATAGATTACAACAATAAAAAATCTCATAAATGAAGTTTAATGAGCCATAAATTTATATTCTAAAGATTTATCTTTTTATAGGTTCTGATTGGGCAGACAATACACTTTTACTCATATATGTCAAACAGAACTGTCATTCAAAGTGACATGTATTTAGATTAAGATTTAGATTTAGCTTTAGATTTGTATTTAGAATAAGATTTGCCATTTAACAATACAGAACAGAACTGTCATTCAAAGTAACATGTATTTAGATTAAGATTTAGATTAAGATTTAAATTTAGATTTGTATTTAGAATAAGATTTGTCATTTAACAATATGGATAGTTTTATAAACTGAAAAGCTACGTCTTAAAATTCTAAAACCGTAATAGAAAATTAATAGCTCTGTAACAGGTTTATTTTATGCTATACGAGGAGATTATAGACTACATTAGAGCTGTCCAAAGCACGGCACGCGGCGAAAATGCGGCCCGAGGCTATTTTTATGCAGCTCGCGACCTGTTTTAATCCATCACAATTACGCAAATTTTTTTTGATGTACTGGTAAAACCACATTATTTTAGTTTTTTGGTATACCAAATAAATGAACTTAAATTGATAAATTTATAAAACTAAATTTAACATAATAACCGTATTTTTTTTTTGTCGAAAACAACTTTGAACGTATGTATTTGTTACTGCGGCCCCCCAACATACACCGTGATCTGTATTGGCCCGTAATCGCATCTGGTTTGAACAGCCCTGGTTCACAAACCGTTCATCTAATCGCATTACCTCAAATCTTTGAAGAAATATGAAGGAACTAAATCCGTAACAAATGTCATCGAACAGACAAATTCTTAGCATGCTCAGCTAAAAATACTACTCTGTTAGTGAAAGTATACATAAAGTTCCAAATTTACCTATCATACGGCTCAGATTTGAACCTATCTTACAGCGTATTTTGGATTTGAATTTGTATCACAATACTTTTAAAATTCAGCTAACAAAATAACTAAAGCCGACTTACATTAAAATGTATAGAGCAAATAGTCCTCCAACAATTTTTGGAGGTCTAGTTTTTTTTAATGATAAGGCCCATATTTCTCTTGATTGATAAATCAACAAAAAAATTGTGACCTCTGTGGCTATAAAAATCAACAAGTGACTTCCGAATGTCATATTCAAATTCACAAAAAATCACAGCATATTGTAGCATTTGGTCTGAAGATGTGATCGAATCGGTGCCTACTTTGAGAAAATGACAATGGTTTAACACAAAACTTTATTTATAATTGCTACAGTCACATGATAACCAATTAGATCAATACCTTAACTTACTTAATGGATGTCCTTACTTGCTATCCCTCACTGTTGCTTAATAGTCTTTATCGGATTCTATTCTGTTAGGTTGCAGTTATAACTTTTTGTCAAAAATACCAAACTGAATAAATCAGAGTAGAGGGTTAACTTAGTTAAGGTGTGTCTCCTATCTGTTTTAATCATTTGTTCTCTTCGGATTTCTATTTTCTAGGATTGCAAACTGAGTCGATCTGCGCAGGGTTTTAACTATTTTCTCCAACGGTTTCTGTCACTCTCGCTACCTAACAGTTTTCAGTCTTCATTATGGAATGAAAAAAAAAATGAGATGAGTTAAGAAACTGATTCAACCTGAGTAGCATTTTAACTATTTCTTCCAAATGTTCCTATCCCTCCCTGTCGTCTAACAGTTCAGCAGAAGTATTAGCAGGCCTCGCCAAAAAGGAAGTTTTATCTAAAACACATAACTTCATTTGGAACCGACGGACATTCATTGGAATTTTCAAGGGGTGTTAATCGGTGCATTATCTTGATACATGTGTTTTTAGAGCACCGTGATTTTAAGCCTTCATGGCAGGTACCCACGCTAAATTGCACTGTTACTGTCGCCTAACAATCTTTATTATTATGGGATGAAAAAGACTTTTTTTTTATCAAAAATATAAACCTAAGTCAAGCTGCATTGCCTTAATCATCTTGACTCTCGCTGCTGTCCACCAGTTCTTGTAATTTTCATATTTCCCTGGGTTGCCTTTTTAACCTTTTTTGAAAAAGATTCATCATTTTCGGTTGTTATAACAGCATGAAACCCGTGTAGAGGGTTAATTGTCTTAAGGAGTGTCCCATATCTGTTTTAATCATTTGTTCTCTTCGGATTTCTATTTCCTAAAATTGCAAACTGAGTCGAACTGAGCAGTGTTTTAACTATTTTTTCCATCTGTTTCTGTCCCCCTCATTGCCTAACAGTCTTCTTCATTATGGAATGAAAAAGAGATGAGATGAGTTAAGAAACTTTTTAACCTGATTCATCATCTTCGATTGTTATAACAGCATGAGTATGGTCTTAACTGAATCAAGGAGTCTCCTATATATGTTTATATCTCTTTTTGTTGTCAGCCAAGTCTTATTCGATTTAACTTTTAATATTTAAATAAATTTAGGATAATATCAAGGTTTATTTATAACTTAAGACTTAATAATAATAACTTTCTTATAAATTTATACGATTTTTTTTCTTTTTGTAATACTAACTTT